ATTCCGATTATTCAGGCCCCTACATTGTAGGGTATGGGGTTTCTAAAGGGCCTGATGACAATGTGATTGTCTAAGGCTTTCGGTTTAGAGTTAAGGGGTTTGTGGCCCAGCAGTGTGGGAGTTGGCTGAGACATGTCAAACTGTTCGTGAAACCACTTCTCCTATCTCACCCATGGCTGCCATAGCTCCTGGATCACAACAGCTGCAGGAACCTTTGTGTGGGCTCAGATACACAGAGTGAACCCAGTCACACATAACCGCGTATGCACTCTGTCCGCCACCCCACAGTTTACGGTTTACCTGGACCCTATAAAACCTACCTTTTCGGGGCTCCCTATGATGATTTCCTTAAGTCCTTAAAAGGGTCCAGGTAGGGTTTGATCAAAATCGAAGCTTCAATGCAAAAGCAGGCCCTGAACCCAAAGCGGTCCCGGAACGCGCAAACCTAAAGCCGTAAACCCCTAAACCCCNNCTAAATCCGAAACCCTAAACCCCTAATCTAATCCCTAAACCCAAAGCCCCAAACCCTGAGGCCTAAAGCCTGAACCCTAAACCCTAAACCCTAAACCCTTAATCCTAAATCCTAAACCGCATCCCTAAGCAACCCTACAGTGGAGAACTCCAGCACTCCCGGAGACCCGAAGTCAGAAAGCCCGAACCCCCTGTGAAGCCCATACCCTATAGCCTAGGGTTTAGAGCCTAGGGTTTAAGGTTTGGGGTTTAGGGTTTAAGGTTTAGGGTTTAGGGTTTAGGTTTTCAGGCTTAGGTTTGAGGTTGTAGGGTTTAGGGTTTCGGGTTTGAGGTTTAGGGTTTCGGGCTTACCCTAAACTCACAGAAGCCTCTAGGGCTCGGGGTTTAAAGTCCACAAGGGTGGAGGATTTAGGGGACAACATGAGGACAGTTTTTTAGGTTTCAGGGTTTAGGGTTTAGCGTTTAGGGTTTAGGGTTTAGGGTTTGGGATCTAGGTTTTAGGGTTTAGGGTTTGGGGTTTAGGGTTTAGGGTTTAGGTTTTGGGGTTTAGGGGTCCACATGAGGACAGCTTTGCTTCTTTCTTCTCTGCCGGCATCGGATCCGAGGCCCTTCACAGAAGCTGCGCCTGCGAAGCAGAGGTTCTGGAATCTCTTAGAGGTGAGGGCTCAGGCTTCAGAAGCCTAAACCCTAAACCCTAAACCCTAAACCCGTAAACCCTGAACCCTGAACCCTAAATCCTAGACCCTAACCCTAACCCTAAACCCTAAACCCTAAACACTAAACCACTAAGTCTTTACGCGTTTTGGGTTTGGGATTTATGGTTTGGGACTCATCGCAGAGCTCAGGATTCAGGGGTGCAGTTGAAAACAAACTCTGGGCTTCTTGCTGAGTGACGGTTTAGGGTTTAGGGTTTAGTTTTTAGGGTTTAGGGTTTAGGGTTCAGGGTTTAGTTTTTAGGGTTTAGGGTTTAGGGTTTAGGGTGCACCAAACCCTAAACCCTAAACTCTGGAAGAGAACATTACGCAGGGTCTGGATGAGATAAAGGTGTTTGAAGTGAAGATCATCAAAAGGGTAGATTAAGCGAGGTTGGGCATGTCATGTGTGCCCCGTGCTTGGGTTTGTTGCTTTATCTTTCGCGTCTGTTGCAAATATCTCGGACGCCACCAAAGACTCTCTCACCAGTCAAAAACACACAAGAAAGGGCCCCAATCCTCCTGGCAGAAGCTAGTTAGGGTTTTGAGATCAGGGCTTCAATATCCACAGGTCCCAACTCTAAAGACACTTTAGCCTGACTTACTTGTCTTTACAATCAAGCTGTGCAACTTCGCGCCTGCTCTAGAATTAAATGCCCGCATTTGGGACCTTGCAGTATCTTCGGGGTCAGCAGAGCCGTATCTGTTCAACCGAGCTAGGCATGCCGTATTCAAGGACGAGTGCGAGACAAAAGCCTGAACCCTAAACCCTAATCGCTAACCTATATGAACTCTCTAAGGTTCGGGGTTGCGGGTAAAGATTTGGGCTTTAGGTTTTTGATGCCGGAATTAGGGCACCCACAACAGATCGAAATATCAGCTCCATGCCCTCCCTGGAAGCGTCCTTCGTGTGGAGGTTGGCCCCACTCCCACCGAACGGCGCTGCAGCAGAGCGATGTGGGCCGACCTCGTGTAGCACGTATCGTGTGAAGTTCGGTCGTTATTGAAGGAAGACTTCTTCGTGAAACTGGCTGAGGGCTTTGGCCTTGGGCTCTTAACTTTGGTGATTTTGCACTTACAGCCCCATTTACAACTGTCAGACTAGGTCCCGATCCATTGGGTACCCCGATGTAGTCTCGAAGCTTTGATCTCCAGCCCTTACCGCCTGCTTAGCCGTGGACCTGCGGGCCGTTCCACATGGTGGTCCCGTTTGTGGCCGTACCATAACAAAGCTAGACTTTCAACGATCATTTTAACTTTTATAGGGATTACAAAGGACTGAACGGTTGAAGAGGGCATTCCAGGGGATATCATTTCTAATTGTTCGGACCTTGGAAACTAAAGCCTAAACCCTGAACCCTAAACCCGAAACCATAAAACCTTAAACCCTAAACCCTAAACCCTAAACCCTAAACCCGAAACCATAAAGCCCAAAGCCCCAGACCTAAACCCAAACTGAATCTAGAGAACAACGCCCACGTATCGTTTTCCATCCGCAGGGCAAGGCGACTCCTCGCAGAAGCTCGAAAACCCTAAACCATAAATGATAACGATAATAATCATAATAATCCTCATAATCAAAATCATAATATACTCATATTTCATTATGATAGTCATGATCACAAAATAGTCTGATGAGCATTATTATTGTTATTATAGTATAACAACCATCATAACAACAAAAATGAAAACAGTAACCGTAGTAGTAGCAATACTAACACTAACCCCAAAGCCCCTCAAACCCTCACGCAGGCTTGAGGGTTTTGGGTTTGGGGTTTCGAGTGGTTCTGGCTAGAGCCTAGCAGGCTAGCACGTGTTGAGCAGTAGGATACAGCTTTCATCCGGAAATTCGGGTTGTTTCGTTTAGACACTTTATTGTTTGGTGGAGCGGGGGATTGTAAACAGGGGCCCATCTGTCCTAAACCCTAAACAAGGGCCTTCTTCTTTATGTTACTCTTTAGCGTCGGCACTTCCCGAGTTGGGGAGTTCGCAGGGTTCACCAAAATAGGATTTAAGGTTTAGGGCTTGGGGTTCAGGGGGGACCCCCACATGAACGAGAAATGATAGGATCCCTTACCCCCCAGGATATCAGGTCGAAAACCTTCTCTCTAAGCTTTCTCTAATTTAAGAAGGGGCTTCAAGCTTCGCAAACCATACCCAAATCCTGAGAACACTCAGACCTTTGGCTCTGACCGGCCATGTCTGGCAACAAACCGTCGCCGGCAATGGGGTACTTGTTTCGAAACGCTATCTACGCGATTTGTGCCATGGGCGTGGGCCGATTTCGGTCTATCTAGGGCTTAGGATTTATCCTGAGCTCTCACCGTGCAGTTCCAGTAATCAGAATCTACTTCACCGCATAGAGTAACCGGTAGGTAGCTACTGAATAGGATGTAATCATCTATGTCTCAGGATGCATATTTGGAACACTGAACCTTACACCCTGAACTACCTCAACCTGTCCACTTGGCATAAAAACATATGAATGAACCCTAGCCCGACACCGAATCAACCGTAAGCCGAACGCTTAAACCGCTGCACGCTGCCTGCGTCACGGGCTTGCTTTTGGCAAACTCTCTTGGGCTGCTACTGTCTTCAAGTGGATGTCCTAAACCCTAAACCCTAAACCCTAAAGTCGTAGTATAGCATCCTACGGAACCCTAGCATCCGATCCTGCTGCCCTCAGAGAGCGTGTTGAGAAAGCCGAGTTTGCTCGCGACCTTGGCTGGGCTCAACCAAGTCAGAGTGGTGTGCAAGATAA